AGGACCTAAATGTGAATCCCAGAATTATGAAGGTCATCAATGATAAACTCGGGACAAATATGAGGGCACTAATTCTGGGAATACACAGACTACAAAACATTTTGAAAACCACACAAACAAAAGTAGATAAAATAGATGAGTGGGACATACTAAAAATTATAAACTTATGTGTATCAAAAGACTTCACCAGAAGAGTAAAAAGGGAACCCACAGAATGGGAAATAATCTTTTGCAATGACACATTAGGCAAGGGACTCATTTCTAAAATATACAGGAAACTACAACACCTCTACAAGAAAAGGACAAAAAACCTAATTAAAACATGGGCACAGAACATGAACAGACACTTCACTAAGGCAGACATCCGGGAAGCCAACAAACATATGAAGAAATGTTCACGATCACTAACCATTAGAGAGATGCAAATCAAAACAGCAATGAGATATTATCTCACACCAACAATAACAGCAAATATAAAAAATGTAGAGGACAATAAATGCTGGTGGGGATGTGGAGAGACTGGGACAGTCCTGCATTGTTGGTGGGACTGCAAAATGGTCCAACCTCTCTGGAAAGCAATATGGTGTTTCCTCAGAAGGTTGAAAATACAAATACCTTATGATCCAGCAATTCCTCTACTTGGTATTTACCCACAAGAAATACAAGCCATAACATGAGTAGATATATGCACACCAATATTCATAGTAGCACTATTTACAATAGCATAAAGATGGAGACAGCCAAAGTGCTCATCAACTGAAGAATAGATAAACAAATTGTGATACATACACACAATGGAATAATATGCTACCTTGAAGAATAACAAGGAAGCTGCAAGCCACCGCATAACAAGGATAAACCTTGAGGACATTATGTTGAGGGAAATTAGTCATTCACAAAAAGAGAAATACTGCATAGGACCACTGCTGTAAAAGACTAAGAAAAAGAACCCATACTAAAGGTGGGTGGGGGGAATTCTTTGTTGAGCGCTGGTAAGTTGGGGCACAGGGCAGGGATTAGACACAGGACAGTTTGGGTGCTGGGGAGGGGGGCAATATAGAAGAAGGGAGAGGGGAATGGAAATACAAAGCAGATGGGAGAACAATTAGGCATGTTTGAATGGGCTAAGTGGGACAGAGGTAAAGAATGATGTGTACACAACCTTGGAACTACAGGGTTCTGGGATACAGAGACTGAGACATGATTGGAATGGGGAAAAGGAGGGAATAATGTTAAGATGTTGGCTGTCTTTTGAATCTTGGTATTCTTTGCATTATAATATAAAATAGACACTGGAGGGGGAGAGAAGGGAATAGTAAGAAACAACACTATAGAAAGCTTGTAAGTCAGTCTTCTGCCTATAAATGATTGGAATTCCTAAAATGGGGCCACAATTGTCCAGTGAAGGAGCTTCTTGTGGAGCCTCTGCAATACATAAGACTATAGATAGAAGCCTGAACCCCATCCAGTTCTCCAGAGACGAGAAATTTCCACTTGAAAGGAGGAGCAGACCCACCTGGAACGGCTAGAAGAATAGAAGATACTTCTTGAAAGAAAGACCTACAGGAAAAGTACAAAAAAAAATAGAGGCAGGCAGACTGTTACTACAAGAACAAACAAGTTGCTTGCCCAGGGAACATCAAGGCAAGTGGTCGGGTCCCCTCAGTGCAAAACCCCTTCCAAGACTAGGACTCAATGGGAATACAATCTCATCACCGATAAGGGGAAATGAGGGAAAAACAACAATGAAGTGGTGAGCTCAGCCCTCCAATGTGGAGAGTGAAGTGTTCAGCTGATAAAAAGAGAGGGCATATGCACAAGAACACCCACACTTGCAGATAATACCCACTTGACCTGGCTTCAATGATCAAAGCTCAATCAGAAGAAAGAAGAGGAAAAAGAGTAATCTGATGCAATTTGATGAACTTGACCTACACCTATGGAAGCAGTAGCTCAAATGGGGGAACAAATTCTTACTACAAGAATCATTCCCACCCCCTCCACACACAGAGTAGACAGGGATGGGCAGCTTCGACATTGACTACCCAAAATGGGGGTGGGGGGGGCTACAAGTGCAAGAAGTGACTGGCTTACAAGCTTTCAAGAGGGAACCTAGAGCCTGGGGGCCTCGAGGAAGGCAGAATCTCTAGTGAGTAGTATACAATCTGCCGAGGAGGAGCTGATGAAATGATATACAGATGGGTCTCTTTTGATACAATAGTGAATAATTGTTGTCAGGACTGATTGTGAAGTTTGGAAATGTAGGGGTAGACATTTTATAGCAAGGAAGGGAGGGAATAATTTTTCAGTCTAGGAGTGGAGGTCCCTAGGACCATCAACGGAGAAGAGCCAAGAGCGGGAACCTAACCAGAGAGGCAATGATGCCTGAGATGGAGGCAGAGACAGTGACATGGAGCGATAGAGCAGCTGGGGACTTTAGATCCAGAGAGGGAGAGTGACTGTGTGCTGAAGACTGTGGGGGAGGGGGTAGTGTAATGGGCAGGCTTTCAACCTACCCTTTGGTAGTTTGGTGATGCATGGAGGGGATTGTAACCATGCCAATGATATGATATACGATAGAATGAATGTAAAATTAATATTCTACCATGGAAACTATCATATAATTCACAATAAAACACTAAAAAAAAAAGAAGTCTAATTAAAAGGTCTTGTGATATAAGTTTGAGAAAATATACTAGAGGAAAATATGAAATATCAGTGAGTTCAGTAGTTAGATCTTTTGAATAAATGTCTATGTGCAAAGTTGGTTATGCCTCAGCATTAAGTAAAAGTGAAATGAAAGCACTTTTGGCATTGTAGAATAAACACAAGACCACAAGTTTACTTTGAACCACACATCAGGATTTCAAACACACCAGCAACTCTTTGTAAACCCTGTACTGAGTTCCCATGAGCTGGAACTGACTCAGTGGAATTTAACAACAATTGGGGAATGAAGACCAAATCAAGAGCATTGCTATTCCTTTCCTCTTGCCATCACACACAATCTAAAATAACTAAGACTTACTTCCATTTCTAGAACCCAAGAATTACACTTAGATGAAAAATATAAACTTTTTTAGCAAGAAGGAACACCAGAGGACAATAAGAGACAAACCTTACTGGCCAAAATTCACAGCTTTACCACCAAAGCAATGCACCTAATTCACCCATGCTTCTTTTTTCCCTAAGAAAATAAGTAAATAAGAATGGGATATTTGATCTTAATCTGTCTCCCTGAATTTTGTCTATGGGCCTTTAGTATAGTAAATTCCCTCATCTAACTTCACTTGCTCAGCCCGAAACCTGGACAGTCTGCAGCCTAATTGCCCCTGTTGGCTCCTCTGGCATCACAGCTGCTCTATTTCTCTGCGTTTCTAACACACTCAGAATGGAATTATCACTCTAGTATCACTTACAGTTATAAACGGTTGTGTCCTCAGAGCTCACTGGTTATATTCATGTATGCTGTGGTTGTGGATGTTTCCCTCTGCCCTGCAACTTCCTAGTGTAGATTTTTCCAACACTTTCTGGTTTCATCTATCCCAGACACTCAAATCTTTGTTAGGAGTCGGCCAAACCACCTGTATATACTAGTTGATGAAGGTTTAACTTATAGCCTTGGAGGACACCTTCACTTAAGCATCAAGTTTTCTTCCTTCAGCTTCAGTCTCCAGCCACTGGACATGGTAGTGGATACCTGTGGAGAGCAGATAGGGTCCATTGAAATGCACTCACAATATTCCCCTCAGCCCTGTAACTGGGGACAGTCTTACCTGTAGTCACTGCCACCAAAAAGAGGATTCTCCAGTTCGTATCAATAGTCAGGGATCTGTATTCTCGGGAAATTCTGAAGGGGAGGGAAGTGGTTATTAAGTGATGTTTTGGGATGCACAGACATATCAATATTTGAGTCAATATTTGTATATTTAATAGGCAAATTATTTCAGAGCCAAAGAGAAAAGTCTCAGAGACCACATGACTCTACATTGCAGAAGGTAAGATATTAATCACTGTTCAACATATGTTTCCTTTGCTTTGTCAGCAAACACTGCATGCACAGACAGAGCACTTACCATGCATTACCCACAGGGCTTGTGCCTTATTTTGATCACAGCTGTAAATGATCCAGATACCAACTCAAACTCTTTTAGTCCACCAGAAACTGTGATACCAATGAGGTTTAGGGCTTCAATCTGGTATTTCTGAATGAAGGACTGTTACTGTTTAAAAGAAAAAAAAAAAAAAAAAAAAAAAAAAAAGATGAGAGAAATGAGGCTTCAACAGCAGGCAGGTTTATTGAGAGTAAACCTGGGAGTGGGAACTCAAAGTCAATAGAGACAAAAAGCCCACCTGTCCCTTACTGACTGGCTTATTTAAGGCGGTACAGTCCAGGGTATAGTTTTGGTGGGCTTCCAGTGGTTGGAATTATGGTGATGTTCCTAAAACCTGAAACTACTGGGGAGAGGGTTTCTTGGTGTAATAAAGACTTAACATTCAGGAAGCCAAAGCTTAAACAGGACTTCATTCAGTGCCACTTGGGGGCAGCTGCAACGCCATTTTGTTGATCAGGAGCAGGGCCCTTCACTGTTCAACCTGAGTGTTACACAGGCTCTTTGGCATCAGTGATATTTGCTCCTCACTTTAAGACAATTTTCTCAAGTCCCTGTGTGGATATCCTGAAACTCCCAGTTGTTCACATCGGTCCAGTGATGAATGATGCAGGACACTATTTCTAATATTAATGATAATATTAATTGCAAAACCCATGGCTCCAAAATATTCCCATTAATGTTTAACTAATAACTTTGTGTCTCTTTTCTGTAATATATTTTCTTAGAGTATCTATGTATTTTCAGGTATCTTTCATCATTCCTCATCTCTGTAATTTAAAGCTGATTAAATTGGATACATAAACTTGTCACATCCTCTGACCATAGTGTTTCCCTCTCAAACACCAAATCCAGGGAGTATCACCAATAATTGGCATCTGAATCTCTTATTCCTGGAAGCAATGTATATCCCCTCACCAAACCCTGGACCCATTGGAATTGATGATACCATCCTGTATTTCATCTTCACTTTTAGGATATCTTTAAAATAAACAAACCAATTTGAGTGTTAGTTGACCATTGGGTCTCAAATAGACTTTATTCAATGTTGGATTGCACTCATGAGTTATATCCTTTATCCAGTCTACTATTTTGCCAAACAGTGAATAAAGGGGTTAATTTTAGTTCAGGTTTTAAGGAGTTCTAGGAAAGAGATTTTCAGGGAGCATTTGCTGTGAAGACTTGCTTAGAAAACACAACAAAGCATTAATAAAAAATAATTAAACACCTTCTGCCACAGATTCTATTAAAGCTCAAGTCCACTGAATGTGTTACAGAATAGAAATGTTCCATAGAGTTTTCTTCACTAAATTCTTTACAAAAATCAGATAACCTTTCATCTGTTGTGAGACTGGAAAGTTTTGAACTTTCAAAATTAAATAGTAGCCGATTGCAAATCGTTCATGTCACACCAGGACCAGTAAAATGTCTACATGCCCTATAAATTCACTCATTTAAAGGTGGTAATCATTGCATTTTTAAGTCAGCTATGTAAGTCAGAACACGAAATAGCCATTGTCATATTTTTCTTTAAATTATCTTTTTTTAAAATGTTTTATTGTGAATTATATGATAGTTTACATGAGAGCACTCTAGTTGTACATTCATTCTATCATATATCGTTTCATTGCAATGGTTCAAATCTCCTCCATGCATTATCAACCTACCAAAGGGTATACCCTACAAACCTGCCCCCTACACCTACACTCCCCACCCCCAGTCTTCAGCACACAGTCCCTCTCCCTCTCTGGATCCAAAGTTCCCAGCTGCTTCATCACTCCACGTCATCATCTCTGCCTCTATCTCGGGCCTTGCTGCTTCTCTAGGTAGGGTCCTGATCTCAGCTCTTCTCCGTTGATGGTCCTAGAGACCTCCACTCCTAGACTGGAGAGTTAATCACTCCCTTCCTTGCTATAAAACGTCTACCTTTACATTTCCAACCCTCACAATCAGTCCTGATAACAATTATTCACTATTGTATCACAAGTGACCCATCTGAGTTTCATTTCATCAGCACCGCCTAGACAGATTGGGTACTACTCACTGGAGATTCTGCCTTCCTCCAGGCCCCCTGACTCTAGGTTCCCTCTTGAGAGCTTGTAAACTAGTCACTTCTTGCCTTTGTAGCCCCCCTCCGCCCAATTTTGGGTATCCAATGTCCAAGTTGCCCATCTCTGTCTACTCTGTGTGTGGAGGGGGTGGGAATGATTCTTGCTTGAAGGATTTGTTCCCTCTTTTGAGTTACTGCATCCATAGGTGTAGATCAAGTTCATCAAATTGAATCAGATTACTCTTCTTTTCCTCTTCTTTCTTCTCCTGGTTGAGCTCTGATCATCAGTCATCGAAGCCACGTCAAGTGGGTACCATCTGCAAGTGTGGGTGTTCTTGCACATATGCCCTCTCTTCCTATCAGCTGGTAGTTTCACTCTCCACTCTACTCCTCTGTTGCCACGCCACTGACTCTGGGCCCAAGAGTCCCCAGGTCTACCCACACTGCTAGCCAACCAGGTCTCCACTTGGGTCCACAGAAGTCCAATGAACATTGTAGGGCTTATCTTGCCGCTTCATTGCTGCTTTTACCCCAGTAGATGAATTTGAGCTATTGAACTTGCAGTTCAAACAGACCATGCAGTCCAGTGCTTATCCTACACTGATACACAAAGAGTAACAAATACTATCATGATAAATGAAGAAAACACTAAAATCATTGAAAGCTTCATATGTGTTGGCTCCACAATCAGCACTCATGGAAACAACAGTGAAGAAATCAAAGGACAGCATTCATTGGGCAAATCTGATATGCAGACCTCTTTAAAGTGTTCAAGAGTAAATGTATCAGTTTGAGAACTAATGTGCACCTGAACTAAGCCATGGTATATTTAATAGCCTCATATGTAGGTTAAAGTTGAAAAATGAAAAAGAAAGTCCAAAAATTAACTGATTCACTTGAATTATAATGTTGCAGAAGACTATGGACTTCCATAAGAACAAATAAATCTGTCTTGAAAGTAATATATCCAGAATGCTTCTAAGGAGTATATGACAAGACTTTGTCTATCATATTTGTCAGACATGTTATAGAAAGGATGAGTTCCTGGAAAAAGACATCATGTTTGGTAAAGTGTAGGATCAGACTCCCACCGAGAGGGCTTCACAGAGTGGCAGCAACAATAGTCTCAAATGTAACAAAAATTGTAAGGATGGTTCAAGCCAAAGCTATGCTTTGTTCTGTTGTGTACCACATTGCTGTGAGTTAGAAATGACTCGATGGCATCTAACAACAATAACAACAATAAAGTAAGACATCCTGCAGCATAATTTTTCCTGTCAACTCTTAAGTCAATTCAACTGTCTTCTCTCATTCAGGGTTTCTGACACACTCAGGATGTGGTTATCACACTGTGTTTCTCACACAGTAATACATGGCTGTGTCCTTAAAGCTCAGACTGCTTAGATCCATGTAGGCTGTACTTCTGGATGTTTCCAAGGTCATGGTGACTCTGCCCTGGAACTTCTGTGCATACTTTGTTTCACCATTGCTTGTATAAATCCTTCCCATCCACTCAAATCCATGTCCAGGGATCTGCTGCACCCAATGCATACTGTAGCTAGTGAAGGTGTATCCAGAAGCCTCACAGGAGATTTTCACTGATGACCCAGGCTTCTTCAGTTTACCTTCAGATTGCACCAGCTGGACCTGGGAGTGGCCACCTGCTGAGAGCAGATTGGAGTGGATGAAATTCACCTTGAGTACCCCAAATGACTTCCCCATCCCTGAGATTGCGAGCAATTTTACCTGTGACTGCTGCAACCAACAAGAGGATTCTCCAAGTCCAGTCCATGGTTAGAACTTCTAATGGGGAGTGTTGTGGTTGTTGGTTGGTACTCTGTGAATGCAGGTATTTGACATAGTAGACTTCAGATTATTTACATATTCATGAGGCAGACTATTTAGGTCTGGGCACCACCTAAGGAACATATTTATTTTAAAATAATTCCAAAGATACAACAGCCAAATAAGCAAGGGATGCTAAAAATGCAAATCATGGAGTTTTCATTCTTCAGGTCCTACTTGGGGACATGGATCCTCTACCACATCTCTAAACACTGGGTGAGTAGAGCCCATCTCACTTAGAAACAAGTTGAAGCAGATCAAGACAGTTCCAATTTACAGTGAACCTACATACAAGAGATCAGAACTCTTTTAGGTCCTGTAAGACCCTCGCATCCTTATGCTTGCACCATTGTGCTTATTCATCTTTTGAGATTGAAATATAGCCTGCAGAAAAGAGACATTTACTAAATATTTTATTTTAATCCCACATTTTATTAAAACAGATTTCAGAATTGATATGTGGGGCAAAATCGGACTGTTGAATATGAAGGAAGGCAATATATTCCCTCAAGGATGTATTTCAAACAAACAAATAAAGCAAATGTTTGATGGTACACTGGTATTCTTCATGGTGATGTGAAATTCCAGTTTAAATATAAGTTCCTGAGACCTTCTCATTACAGTAGATGCTTCCTGCATACTTTGGATAATAGAATGTTTTGTCATCTAACGTTGGCATGAAAATTTAAACCTTATTTATTTCTTTTTTATGTTTACTTTTCTCTCTCACTTTTGTCGAGGGATGGGGGTTGAAGTACTTGTGGGGAACACCGATAGAACAGGTTTTGACATAAAAATTGATGCAGAATTTTATGGTTTCCTGCAGGTCTTATTCCTAAAAGACCTGCAGGAAGCCACTACCAAAATACCTGTATGTGCTCCATGTTTTCAGTAGGTTTTGTATGCCCCCTGGAGGCTGAGCAACTCTCTGCAGAGTCGATAATGGTCTACACTCATACTTTCTTGCCTGTCTTGGTCTATCACAGTACTTTATTGCTGAGTCTCAGTTCTCATGCTGATCATTTCTAAATGGAGATAAGCACTCTCTGGCGGTCCTGCACAGGTTGAGGGTGGATACTAGTAGTGGTGGTTTCTAAATGAATGGAGATGTAGACAAGCTATTCCATACAATTCCTCAACCCACTCTTTCCAGATGTTGTTCACTGTAGACTACTCAGAATGGGTCAGCACAGTGCTATCACTAGAGTAGTTATCGCCCAGGGCCGTAATTCATTAAAAACATCCCAGGTTGGAAGAACAATCTGGACTCACCCCACTCTGGTGTCTTAATGCCTTGTGAAGTATATTTAATTCCTGTGTAGTGCATACAATTAAGTCTAATTATTGTTTGTGGTGAAAATAAAATGTATTTCCCATGAATAAGTCAGTGATCATGTGAAATTCTACATGCAAACTCTGGCATCCTTCTTATCACAATAAATGTATTTTACATCTACTGATTCTTTTTAGTTACTGACTTTTGCACTCTAATCCAATAAATTATCAATTAATTCCAACCACATTTTTTATTAATATTAAAGTGAAAAAAATGTTAAAACTTCAACTTCTTAAGCTTTTGCATACAACGTTGCTGTATAAATTTCAGTTAACATTCATACTAACTGGTCTTCCTTGGAGTCATGTGTATAATAACCTATCACTCCCAGATTTGATTCTACTCAGTGGAAATTCAACCTTCCTCCACGCCCTCTGGATCTAGGTTCCCTCTTGAAAGCTTGTAA